CTGTTCTTCATTAATGATGTTAGAGTTAAAACAGTGTTGATAGATTTTTTGTGTAATGCATGAGGTTAATATTTTATAGATTGTCGGTAAACATGTGATAGGTCTGTATTTTGATGGATTTTTTGTGTCGTTATCTTTAGGTTTTAGGTATGTTACACCTTGACATAAGAATGTTGGATAGGAGGATGGGTCAAGAAGGAACTGATTTAAGTGATGTAATAAATGAATATGTACACAATTTAATTTTTTTATCCAAAAATTATGGATTTTGCCTGGTCCTGGCGATTTCCAGTTGTGTGTCTTATTGATGGTGTTTATTAATTCGGCAAGTGTTATCTGATGATCATTCATTGGTGTAACTGTGGATAGTTTATGGGATATATGAGGAATCCACTTGGCAGATTGGTTAAATTCAAATTCTTGAAATCAAAGTTTTGACCAAAATGTTGTTACATCCTGTGAACTTGGAAGTTCACCGGATAATTGAGTTTTGCTTGAATTAGTTAAATGTTGATAGAATAGTTTTTCGTTCTTTAAAAATTTTGTGTAATGAATTTTTCTGAGATGTGATTGTTTGTATCTTTTAAGTCGTTTGCTATATAAGGAAAGTTTTTGTAATAGGGTATCTTTAATTTGGGATAGTGCTGTGTTGTACTCATCGTAATCAGTTTGATGAAAATTATTGTTGGTCAGTATCGAATGCATACATGTCATGATATGTGGTGTTTTAACTCCTCTAAGGTACTGTGTATTTGACCTAGTTGTTTTCTAATGTTATTAATTTTATAATTTAACCGTGTTTCCCAATGAGGAGTGGAAGGTATACGATTGGTGTTTGTATTTATTATGTTATCTTTACATGTGTTAATTTGAATACAAGTTAAGGCTGCACAGTAGATAATTGTATGAAGTTTTTCAAAAGAGATCGAGTTTGTGAGATATTTTGGTAAAATTAACGAGTTCATTATTTCTACAATTGCCAGAAACTTTTTAGAATAACACTGGCGGGGAAGTGAATGTCTATCATTTGGTTTTAATTTAGAACAAGTTTCGAAAGTTAATTTAAATTGGTCTTGAATTTCATTTTGGAAATTAATGTGAAATTTAAAATTGTTGTTTACAGTTTTGATTAATGTGTCTTCGGTGTTGTAGTACGTGTTTTGTAGATTATCTGTGATGTTAATTTGGTTTTGGATTGTTCTTGATAAATTGTTAAGTGATTTGTCAGTTAATGTCTGGGATCTGTTTGATAGTGTGTTGGTAATTTGTGTTATGTTTGTGATCTTATTTTGAGGTGTTTTGTTTAATAAATCTTTAGTAAATGTGTCAGTTGGTGTCTCTGGTGTATTTGAGAGACTACTATTACTATTTTGTGGTATAATTGGGATCTTATTTTGAGATGTTGTTTTTGACAAATTGGTGACGGATGTGTCAGTTAGTAATAAATTTGTCGACGTCCATTGCAATAAATTATAAATTTTATATAAACAACTTCAGTTCAGCGCAGTTGCCATAGTAATAACACCCTATACCGAATTTGTACAGTTGACTTAAGCAATTATACATAGATGAAAGCGGAGAAAACATAAAATTTTGCTACATCGCTTGCAGCGCTTGTAACAGCGTTTATATAAGCGATGGTTCCTTCTTCAGCATACATGCTACCAATGAAATACATTGCTTCGTTTTTAGCAGCGCTGTTACCTCTCCGCTATCATCTATCATCACAGCTCCAACATATTTCTACCCTTTGTTGCGTTTTCTGGTGTTCCACAAGGATATGTGTTGCCGCTGTTGTTCAATTTATATCTGAATGATATTGTGGATAAACTTATTGTTCCTACTTTGTTATACGCAGACGATATGAAACTTTTTCTGAAGGTGGATAGCACTGAGGATGCTCTCCATCTTCAAAATAATGTTTCTAAAGCGTTTTCTTGATGTACAAAGAATGCATTAGACTTAAATACGGATAAATTCTACATAATTTCTTTTACAAATAAGGATCATGTGGTATTATATGATTACAGAATCAATGGGGTGGTTTTAAATCGCTTGGAATATGCAAAAGACTTGAGAGTTACGTTTGATACCGGACTAACATTTCATTAGTATTATAACAAAATAGTATCAACTACGGTTAAGGTCCTTGGTTTTATCATAAGAAACAGTCGAGATATTGGTGATTTATCTATCTTAAGTAAATTGTATATGACACTAGCAAGAACCAAATTAGAATATGCTAGCACAATATGATCTCCATTCAGACAAAAATATGTAAACCAATTTGAGAAGGTTCAGAGGAAATATCTGAAATATGCACATTGCAAGTTGGAGGGAAATTATCCGGTTAGACATGTGGGTCAAGATGATTTACTTAGTAAGTTTAAAGTTAGATCGCTTATTGACAAAAGAAATATGTTTTCAATCACTTTCTTACATGGAGAAATTTGTTGTGAATACTTACTTAATAAGCTACCCTTCGATGCGTCACGTAGGACGACTAGAAACAGTAACACTTTTTATTTACCTACGCCGAGCATTGATATTTATAAATTCTCTACAGTTTATAGAATGTGTTATAATTATAACAAAATAAACCAACATTTTGACATTTTTTGCGATAAGTAAAAGGATATAAATAAAATCAATAACAGGGCCCTATTCCACCAACATTTCTGAAAACTTTGCACTTTGCGCTTTTCACTTTTCAGAAATTGAAAAGTGCAAAATGTTTTTGTTCCACCAAGACTTGAAAAGTACTTTGCGGAAAGTCGTTCAAAATTTAAAATTTGCAAAGTTTATTGATAATCAAGTTACCGGCTGTTATTTTCTTGCATCATATTATCTTCGTCTGGGTTATCGTTGTTCATCTCTTCGCGATTAGGGTAGTGATCTTCTTCTCTTCCAATTATTTTTGCAACATTGTGCAAAGTGGCACATGCCAGTACAATCCGTGCAGCCTTTTCGGGATTTGCCCGTAGGTGGTTTAAACACGGAAATTTTTCTTTTAGTATCCCATAAGAATCTTCCACCAGTTTCCGTGTCAATTTATGGGCGTTGTTGTATTGCCTTTCATCTTCGGCACCAGGGTTTCTGTGGAGAGGAGTCATCAACCACGGTCGTGTTGCGTAACCTGAGTCACCCAAAATGACTGCTCCTGGAAAAAGCCTCCATCCTTGTTCAAACCTTCTATAAATTGCGGTGTTTCGAAAGACTCTGGAATCGTGGACGCTTCCAGGCCAATTTGCGTTAACTGCATAAAAATAATTATTTGGGCCGCATATCATCATGACATTTAATGAATGATCGCCATAGCGATCAACGTAGACTTCTTCATGATTAGAAGGGCTATCGATGTTTATTAAGGTGCCATCAACACATCCACAGACACATGGGAATCCACCTTTGCGCAAAAATTCCATGGCAATGTCTTGTGTATTGTCTGGCCAGCTAACTTCCTCTTGAAACATTGTATCAATGATGATGTTGACAACTTTCTTAATACTTCGACAAACTGTCGATTTTCTTACGCCGTGCATGATGGCTATCCCATGCATCTGGGCCCCATTCCCTAGCCAATGTAGTGTCAACAATAGTTGCTGCTCCGCTGTTAGAGCATGGTTTCTTCTATTTGCAGGGGCTAACCTAGCTCCGATTTTGCCTAAGACATACTTCACTTGTACCTTATTTAACCTGAATGCTTCTTTAAAATCAAAGTCGTTTTCAATGGTAAAATGTACCCTTTCTTTATATATTTTTCGCCTTGGTGGTCTTTCATCTTCATTTTCACTAGATTCATCGCTTGAAAACAATATTCTTCTTATCATTTTGCAATCACTTTGACAACGCAAGGTTTATAGACCACTTTGCGTCTAAATTGCAAAATGAGTAAATTTTGCACTTTTACGTTCTAAAATTTTATAATGGTGGAACAGAAAATTAGAAAACATAACGTAAAGTTTATACTTTTCACTTTTCATTTTACTTTACCTTAATAAATTATGATGGGTGTGGTGGAACGCAAAGTACGTTTGAAAAGTGTAAAGTGTAAACTGCAAAGTTGCAAAGTGAATGGTGGAATAGGCCCCTGGTCTCACTCTTGGTTTAAAATAGAGTAATCGGTATACAAACTTCATCTTAGTTAAGATCTTCTCGTAATTGGACTACGGTCTGTGAGAAGACAACAACAGTAATAATAATAATATTAATAATTTGTGAAAATTGTTTTTGTTCTTTGTTCTTTTTGCGTCGTTTTTGTTCTATTTGCGTTGTTACTTATTATAAATGTTACCAATGTTTTAATAAAAATCATCTAAAATTCAACTTTAGATGTGATTTATTAATAATCAGAAAAAATGCAAGGTTGCGGGAGAAGGAGTCGTAGAAACAGTCTGGTACGCGACTCGGGGGTAAGGCCAATTACACTTCTCGTGGAATTATTGGGGTCGGCTTCGCCTTGCGCACAATTTTTCTACTCGTGTGTAATTGGCTTCTTACCCCACACGTTGCGTAATATACTATTGCAGGCTGGCAAGTTAAGAGACATTTTCATGTTGAATACAATTATTGGATAAATTCATGTTTACAAGTGAGGAACAAAAAAAAAATTTTACAAAGTTTGATTTGTTAAAAATGACGGAAAACTATTAATTAACTGAAAAGAAAAAAGGAGCAGTATACTAGAGCTTATTTGAAATCAGAAGTACATCGAGTGGGAGGGATGAATGCGCGAAGCGCGAAAATGGGCGAAGAGTATGGACGAGTCAGTGGCGGACCATTAGTGTTGTTATTGGGGTTTGCACGTTGCTCGCGTTAGTATAAGAACGTACAAAACAGGTCCAAAGTGTAAAGGAAGTTCGTTCTCGACGCCTCTGATTCTGTGAAAGTAGTGCTCATGCGCACTGAATATTGTTTCAAATACTGGTATCTGCGCTCTTTTATTGCTGTGTACTTCTGCTTTCAAATAAGCTCTAGTTCAAATTTAACAAGGTACTTACTTAATTTACGGTTGACGTTTAAATGACTCGAAGATTCTACTCTAAGTGTGGTTAGGTGTTCAGGATCTGATTCACTTTCTTCAGTATCTGTTTCTTTTTGTCCACTGGAGCACTGTGTCCCATAGTTTTTTGAATCTCGGAATTTCTGCAGTATAATTGTATATATTAATACCTCTTAAACACATGATGAATATAATTAAGGAAAAGAGAATTTTAGATATAAACAAGGAAATACATCACATACAATAATAAAATAATTGCCGGCATTTGTCGCAAAAAAATTGTGTTTTATTTTATTAATGAAAATCTGCCACGGTTGAGGATCACAATTAACGAGAGCAAAAAATAAATTAATTCACGGCAAAATCTAGATCTGCATGCTGTGTTACCAAAAAATTCACTTATAATTTTCATTTCATTTTCCATATTTTTTATCAGTTCCGTTGTGCGGCCAACTTTATGTTGGCAGCTAACAAAGTTCATAAACAACCCACTTTATGCGAGAGAATTTTTCTCTGTGTTGCCAGTAGCGAAAAAAAGGTCAGCCCTCTGAGGGTTTTATGAATCTTGCACAATTTCTCGTAAAATTGTTGTCATTCCTTATTTGTTCCAGTTAACGATAATTTTTTAAATCTGTTAAATGAAAGTTTTCTTGAATGTTCACAAATTAGGTTTTCCTGTATTTAATTTATAGGTCATTTTTTAGAACATTGGAAAATTGTCTTTTCGTTTAATATCAATTAAAAACTATGCACCGAAACGTTCCGTTCGTTTATACCGCTAAAGATTATAATAACTGAATTAAATTCGATCTCCTGAGGACTCATGGGTACAGCATATTTCACTGGTTGTATTTTATTTAAAATGATTTAACCTTAACGTCAATGATAACGGGATTAAATCCAGCATGCGGAGGAATTAAATATTTTCACCCACTACGCACTGGTTGGGCCAGTTATTAAGAGGAGGTTTTACCCACACGGAAAGTAGCCCGTGCAATTGGTTATGATTTTTCGAATCATTGATTTATTAATGGTTAAAAATAGTTGAAAATTGAATTGAGTGTTGTCAAAGGATGTGGCATTTTGCCAACGTTCGAATTTTTTAAATCTGATAAATAACTGTTGCAATAAAAATCAACAAAATCACATAAAAATGGCTTCAAAGAAGCGTTTGTAACTCGGCAATTAAATGACGCCTTTGAAAAATTCAAACGGGGGCAGCAAGATCAATGTTTCGTAACTGTGTATATAAAATTGCGACGTTGTAAATTACAAAATGTTGCTATGAAACGAAAAAACAGAACGCATGTTTTCGGACAAAATGCAAGCCGATTTCTGGTCGCCTTCACTCAGGTCAGATGAGGAAAGACGCTAAGCGGGGGCTCACATTTACTCTCACCCTAAAACGTAAAGTACAGACACGACGATATCGTATTTTGAAATACTTTTGTCATATATATAATCGGTGGAGTGTTACAACTCGACGACGGTACACGAACTAATTTGAATCTTTCTGTGTACGCTGTGATTAAGATTCACCTCTCCCCTCGAAAATGTTTACGTCCCTCAGAATTCACTGACTTCACAGTTCGAGAAACGAATGAATGCTTGAGTAAAACCTGCTCTTAAGTACGTAACATTTGCGACAGAATGCAACACATCGGCCACTACCGACGTCTATATCTCGCTAACGGTAGTTTGTTTGGATATAAAGTTAAATACTGAAACAGGTACTAAATTCTGTACTGATGAAGACTAATGAAGTTAGAACTGCAGTTTATAGAATATTACATTATAGGGGAAGTAAACAGGATTTACCATGTCGAGCGGAGCGAGAGAGTTTGGAAATCCAGGGAGACAGGGTTAACCCGTTACTTCCCGCATAATGTATATTACTTTTTCTCGACCCAATCGCTAAACCAACAAATAATTAATTCAATATTGCCATAATGCATAATATCGAATGAAAATAGTTGACCTCCTTTGTGTTGCTCAGGGTATCAATTAATAGTTATTTATTATACAAGTGAGTTAGGTAGCATATAACTCACGAGCGAAAAGTTTAGTCACAAGCGACGAAGGAGCGAGTGGACTAAATTTCTCGAGTGTGTTAAAGCCCTAACTCTCGAGTTTAATATAACATTTTGTAAGATAGGTTTGTACTTAACATGTGTTTCTCTTCATATTTTTTTTATACTTGGGGTGTAAAAGCATGCAGTTAAGAGTTGCATGCTAATTTGGGGCTCGTAAAAATACATATTTCCCAGAAACTGGGGAATGGCCTATGTCCTTTCACAAGCCTACTAATAGCTTGCGGTGCAGGGGTGCAGGTGGTCCTGCGACTTACACTTGAGCGAAACAAATCTGAGATTATCGCAGTCGCAGGCGAAAACAGAAACCACATGTGTGACCCAAAAAAATAGACCAGATTGGGGTTGATTGGTTGGCTGTGTTTCTGTTGAGAGGGTGTAACTAAAAAGGCCTGGATAAAGATTTCAGTTTTAAAACGGACGCGTACCGATTAAGACGAATTTAACAGTTCCGTGTTACGGTTGCTCAAAAAGTGTTGAGGTGAGTGTTATCACTGAGTTATCGGTTCTTGAGGGTGTGGTGATGTGAGCGCGATTTCACAAAGGTGTAATCCGTACTGCTAATCATCATAAAATCTAATTGGATAATCTGCAATAATTCGGTGAGTCCGTTCCTTATCATTACTGCTGTATTTGACCTGATTATTGATAAGGGGTACCGAGTCAGTTGTCAAATAATGTTAACAGAACTTGAGAGAAATTGAGAATATAATAATTGATGAAATGAGCCTTGACATGTCGAGCTAATTTAATTAGCTGTCCACCTTCCTGTGTTACCTAACTGGCAACTCGGGGTAGTATCTGGGGCCGGTGAAGGCGCGTACTTTTCCCCCTTGCCATTGCACAGTCCGGTACTATCCGTTTTTGTGTGAACTATCTGTTTCTGCAGATAGCCTCCCGTTTGTGGCGGGGGAAGTGTCTGTTTGTGGCGGACAGAGTTGTCAGTCGGACATCTTGCGCGTCTTCAGTTTTTCCCTTGATGTCCGTGGTCAAAGGACTGGTTATCAAAGTGGACAACTCGCGCGTCTTCAGTTTTTCCCTTGGTGTCCCTGCACTCTTTGATACTAGACCTGGGATAGTAACTGGAGCGGGGGCGTCGTGCGCCTTTTTCCCTTCGCTCCATTGCACAACTCAGTACTAGTCGCCATTGTCGATAGCGAGGGTGAGTGCTTCGCGCGGTATTCCCTTAGTACTCATTGCACACTCCGTATCAGACGATAGAGACCGTTTTGACTCCAACCTCTTGGACTGAATAATTTGTGAAGTAAATCAGTCTTATGCAGATCATAATAAAATGGTACTGAACTTGTTGATTATTATCAATTAATTAAAAAGACACGGACTCGCTGGTAATAAAAATCAGTACAGTAGCAGATTGCATCTGGCAATCTTGGGGATCGATGGCTCACACCCCCCTTTGCATTTTTGCAGGGTGAGTAATTGTTGACAAAACCGATTCACCTCGACACCGGCCTATCTGACAAGGAAATATTTGTGATTATCCAGATATCATCTCTGACGACTTAAAAGTCAGTTTATAATTTACTTATGTTCAGTCCTGACATTTAAGTAAAGTTAGAAATGAAAAAAAAAGGTAACGCCCATTTGTTATTGTTTAAAAAAAAATGTTTTCATCGTAATAATAATTTCTTCTCCTACAATTTTTTCTACGACTATCAAATAATATGCCCAATACCGGTACATTTCCTCTTACCTAAATAACAATATTCGTTATCCACAGCTTGCATTATTATTCACGGTCATCCAGCCAATCAGAGCAAATTCCCATTATTATTCACATGGAATGCCACCAGTCATGTGAGAGCTTTTTCATTATTCACTTTGTCACCTAAATCGCAGTCGCATCTCAAATGGCATAACTATGACTAGAGAGCGGAAAATATGCAGCAAAATTTTGGGAAATATGATCATATGATATGCATCAAATTTATGCAAATATGCAGTAACTTTCTTAATATATGCAGAGATATGCAGTTGCATATGCTCCAAAAATAAAAAAAAGCTGAACTAAATTTATTTATAGAGAGCGGATTTATAAGCACAAAAAAATTAAGAATAAGCGCTTAAATAAGCACAACATTTTCAATAAAAAAGTTTTATTTTAAGCAAAAAAGCATTAAATAAGCATAACACTGTAAGGATCCAATTCGAATTTTTAAATTTCAAATGAATTTCGCGCGTACAAGAAACGGTTGGTAAGAAGAAGAGGTTGGCAACCAACCACCCCAAAGAAAAGAGACATGCGCAAAAAAGGCGAGGGTGGTAACTATCCGCTTTGAAATCACCCACTTCCCTCTGACCGCTTCGAACAAACGGTCGACTTCCGTTTGACCGCTTCGAGAAGACACACCACTTCCTTTCGAGCGCTTCGAGCAACAGGTCGTATTTTTGATTGTTAATTATTCTGTGCCTTTTGCTGTTGTTTTTGCGTTTCCAGTGTTGATCCGTTCCATTGGAAAACCTAGCAGCCCCCGTTGAGCCATTGGGTGTTCCTGATTTCTCATCGTTCTTACGACGAGGTTGTGTGTTCCTTTTGGCGGTAAGCCGTATCGAAATCTTCGCATCTTTGGAGAGGTATGTTTTGGACTGGGTCCTGTTTCGCGGCGAGTTTCAAGTCCCGACGATGCTCCTGACCTCGTGACACATCGACGCGTGCGCTTTTTTTTCCACTAATCTCGTTTTTTTTTTATCTTCCGTCGTAGTAGGGCTTTACAGGAAGTGATTTTTTTAGTTCGGGCCATGCTTTATTTAGCTATATTTGTGAAATCTGTATTTTGGATGGCGGCAAACGAATTGTTATTTTCACCGTTCTTTGTTCAGGCAGCAGCCATTTTGTAGCGTCCATTTTGTTTCTTTTAAACGAGCACATGTTTTAACTGAATCTATTGAACAAATTAACAACATTGTGGGTCATGGGGGGACGTGCCTTTTATTCCTTTTATTTAGCCCATCGTTTATACAACGCCACAGGATTCATCGCATATTTGCATCGCCTATTTTCGACGCCTATTATTTGGAATGACGAATTCGTC